GAGATATATACACAAAACCATAAATTAAATTCGAGATATACACAAAACCATAAATAAATAAACAAATTGTATTAAAAATCTAGGAAAAAATATTAGAATAGAAATCTCGGAAAATATTAGAATAGATTAGCGATTAGCGATTTCTTCATTAAAGGTACTTAGATAATGTTTAATGAGATTGAATGAGAGAGCTTCATTCCTCAAATCACTTCGCAAATAATGTCTTAGATAAAATGGGCTAAGAATAGTTTTTTTGACCTAGATGAATTGAAAATATTTTTTAGATAAAATATGGGCTTTTTATAGATTTTAATTTTGGTTATGTTTTTTTTTGCCCAGATGAATTGAATTTTTTTTTAAATGAGCTGTATTATTGAAATGTTTTAATTGGTGAATTTATTTGCTGAGGTGTCAGCTTTTCAAAGATTAAAAATTCTGATGAGTACTAATATTGGAGCCGAGGTGAGCTTGTCCTTGATGAGTGCAAAGGCTGTATCCGCTTCAGGTGTCCACACAAACTTGCCGTCTTTCATACAGCTAGTAATCGGGGCCATGATGCTGCTAAAATGAGGAACAAAACACCGATAGAAGGACGCTAAACCATGGAAACTACGAACCTCGCTAACTGTTGTGGGAACTGGCCAGGAACGAACGGCTTCAATTTTTGAAAGGTCGACAGACAACCCTTCCTGCGAGATCACGTAACTGAGAAATAATACTTGTGACACGCCAAATTCACACTTATGTTTGGCAGCACAAAGTTGTTCCCTCCGTAAGACAAGATGAACCTCACGAATGTGTGACTCATGTTCTGGCAACGATGAGCTAAAGATCAATATGTCGTCAAAGTAGACGACAACAAACTTGTCGATGAAAGGACGTAGAGCTTGGTTCATAACGCGCATAAAGGTACTTGGTGCATTGGATAACCCAAAAGGCATGACAAGCCACTCATACAAGCCCTCGCGCGTCTTAAATGCCATTTTCCACTCATCACCGGGACGGATACGTATCTGGTGATAACCGCTCTTTAAGTCAGTCTTGGAAAATATTGATGCTTTACCAATCTGATCCAACAAATCATCAAGGCGCGGAATAGGAAATCTATAGCGAACAGTAATCTTGTTTATAGCACGGCTGTATTGGCGAGATCCAACGGTGAACAGCTGCCCAAAATCAAAACCGTCTACGCACATCCGCCAAGTTCCATCTTTCTTGGGAATGAGCAACGCTGGAACAGCACACGGACTTAGGCTTTCCCGTATATGTCCCTTACGTAACAGGTCCTCCACTTGTCCTCGAAGCTCTTCGTGTTCTGTAGGACTCATCCGATAGTGTGGTCGATTCGGTAGTGTTGCTCCCGGAACCAAGTCAATATGATGCTGTATATCTTTTAACGGAGGTAGACTGTCAGGAAGTTCGGACGGAAACACATCGTGAAACTCATCAAGTAAGGTGTCAAAGGCCGGCATAGAGTGGTAAGACGGTGATGTGTGAGGGCAAGTAACGCAAAAGCAATCCCTTCCAAACAGAACTCACAATCAAATCTATGGAAGGAGCAAAGGACCGGAGCTGTGTCAATAGGTGGCATCGGTGGTTGTTGCAGACGTACATCAGAGAGTGGAGAATGACCGAATTGATCACGTGTAGGGAGGAGTAGGATCTGGTGTGTCTCCCAAGTAAATTTGTATGTGTTCTTAGCTCCGTCATGGATGATCTTACGATCGAACTCCCATGGTCTCCCTAAAATCAAGTGACTTACGTCCATGGGAACTATGTCACAATAAGTGCGATCTCGATAATGCGGTCCAATGAAGAAGGGAACAAGTGTACGATGAGTGACGCGAATGTTACAGCCATCTTGCAACCATGAGAGAGAATAAGGTGCAGGATGTGCTTCGAAAGGCAGCTCCAATTTCTGAACAGCATCAGTTGAGATAACATTAAGAGAGCTGCCAGAATCGATGATGAAGTTGCATACTCTGCCCTTGATTGTACAAGTGGATCGAAAGATGTTGGTGCGGAGCCACTGTTCACCGCGACTGGATGGTACAAGAGAAGAACGACGTGTCATAAGGACGGTACCTTCATCCCCACGTGTTGCTAAGACAGGGTCCTCGTTCACTTCTTCGTTGTCTCCATCAGAATCATACACTACGGAGTGGAAAGGTTTGTCGTCATCAATAACAAGACCTCGACGTGAATTCTTTGGGCACGCGGTTTGACGGTGGCCCGGTTCTCCACAGTTAAAACACTTCAAGGCATTCGGGCGTGTAGAACGACGGAGGAGTGATTCATCACTAGGTGTAGCAGTACGGTTCCCCGAGGCTGGTGGTTCACTGACGTCACGAAGTGATCCTCCTGGAGGTGCTTGAGACGGATCAGCAAGACGGGGTCGCGACGAGGATGAGTTCCATGGTGATACACGAAGCTGGGATTCAAACGAGGAGGCTCGGCGATGTGCTTCTGAAATTGTCGTCGGATCAAATTGAGAGAGTGCATTCTGAAGTTGTGGACGTAGCCCTCCAATGAATCGTGAGACCAGCTGAATCTCACTATCGTACAGCTCGTTTCGGGTTAAAAGCTGGTTAAACTCCTCGGCATAATCATCGCTACGGTTCCCCTGTTTCAAGTTCTACAATCGAGTAAACATGGTACGGTCATAATTGTGGGGCAAAAACGTTTTGCGCAGGTGTTTTTTTAGCTTTTCCCAAGACTGAATCGATTCTTTTCCTGTACGGGTGCGTGTAGACTTGACCTGTTTCCACCATGACAATGACGCTGCATGTCCGCGAAAACGCATGGCTACGAGAGGAACGCGTCGGTCTTCTGGGATTTGTTTAAAGTCAAGAACTTCTTCAACAGCGACAAGCCAATCGAGCACGTCATCACCACGAATACCACCGTGAAATTCTGGGATGTCAACTCTGAACCCTGCTTCCCATCGGTTATCACGGCCCTCGTCATTGTTGTTTCGTTGTAGTGCTTGATTGTCATAGCGAACCCTACGGTGGTTCTCACGCTCTTCGTCCTCATTATCCAAGTGAAGACCTGCGAACGGGTTATCATGTACATGGCGAGGATGATGTCGCTCATGAAGAAGATCACCCAAACGAGTTGCCAACGTGTTACCCATCTCCTGGATTGACGTATGCATCGTGTTTTGAAAATTTTCCTGTAACTCCAGAAGTGTGGTACGGAGAGCAGTCCATTCGGCCGAAGGGCCATGGTTGTCACCGGCGGCAGCGTTGTTTTGTTTTGGAGGCATCGTAAGAAATTCAACACTCGTCAGAAATGTACTGAATCTGATACCAACTGATAGAGCGGCGGAAGCAATAACGGACTCGAGACTAGTATTCCAGGAATACAAGATCTTAAGTTCGAGTTCTCGTCTAGCAATCGAAGATCCCTAGTTCGAGAGGAGAAGCGAATACTCTTCGCAGTGCTTTGAAAAGCTCTTACTATTATTCAAATCAAATCAAATGTGATCTTTTACAAAGCTCTTACATCCCTTTTATAATAAACGAAGTAGAAGCGAACGAATATCCAAACCCTAAGCAATAAGGAAATAATACTTATTCTTTGAAATAAGAAAAGTAAAGCCAAAACCGTGAAAGAAAAGGAAAACTTGTAAAGCACGTAATAGTCTTATAGCGAGCTTAATGAAAAGCCCATCAATATCGTGTATGCGCTGCATCATTTGGCCGACGCAGGAATGGCGGGTTGGCTGGGAGAGTATTGATCGGTGGAACTCGGGCCGCAAGAGGATGACAGAAAAATCTTCTATCAATAACTTATCCGTATAAACAACAATAATAATACATGCAGATTCAATTCACGTATCACTCCTTCAAAACTACTTTAAACACGTCGTAGGCACTTCTCCTCTTTCACCTCTATTGTAGCAATTTCTATAGAGAACTTTAAGATAACTCAAATTTCATGTATATTTTAGATTTAATACTTGATTTTAGGATTGTCTCTGGATTTTAGGTTTGTTGTTTGTTCCTAATTTTAAATTTTTGTGTTTTTGCATTTCCGAATTTCTAGATTCTTGTGTTTAGTTATATTTGGTACAATTAGTACAGCTGCAACAATGACAATATAAGATTCCCACTCAATATCAGTGACACCTCCTCTTCGACATCTAACGTGGGCTACAAAGTTTGGCGAAATGGGAATATGAGATTACAAACCGTTGTCTTTTTTCGCAGTGGTGAAACAGTGCTTCAAACAACCATGACCGATTTAAATCTTTAAATCATTGAATGATGTAGGAGTTTCGTGACATTAATGACGAATCGAGTTGTATGTAGTGAGTGAACTTTAAACAAATTTTAATCAAACATTAGTTAAACAAAATCAAATTTATAATAGTACCTAAAAATTAGTTATATCTGTTACCTTTTCCTTATTTTTTAAACTTAGGGAACTTTAAGATTTTGATCCTTTTGGTTTTAGGTTTTAATCAGATAAATTCGAATTGGTTAAGAAATCGGGTTCAATCCAACTAGATTGGACGATTTTTTTTTTAATGGATGGAATATAACTCATTTTTTTTATGACAGATATATCTCAAAACTCAATTTTACAAAGAGGGACAATCCAACCACTGAGATTGCTTTTTTCTTCCATGTCTATCCTCTTTCTCATTTTTGACATGGTACCAATTTTATAGGTTATGTAAATTTATAATGCCTAAACATTTCGTTTTGAATAATATTTATATTTTATAAAAACAAAAATCCTGTAGTTCATCGAGGTACATAGAAAAATCAACTTTCAATGAACTTATCCGTAATCCGTAAAATAAGACCAGTGTGTCATCATAGTTATAAGAATCATGCATTTGTTCCACGTAAAATGAAAATGAATAATATCATGAATAATCAAATACATGCAGATTCAACACACGCTTCACTCCTTCGAAACTACTTTAAACAGGTCGAAGGTATGCACGATTAAAGAAGCAATTATCTATTTTGCATAAATATGTAATTAAACCATGATAAAAGACAAAAGGCGATTGCATACCATCTCTTATGAAAAAAAAATTGTATTCAAGTTTTAATGATATGATTAATTTGATTTGCATAATACATAATGATTAAAACTACACACTTTTCATGTTTAATTTGGTATCCCAACGACTATTAAATCGAGGAATATAATGTTCTTTGGCAAACCCACTTTAGGGGAAAGGGAAACACATTCCCAACATAAACAACCAACATTACCTTCTTGCTAAAAAGAGCAAAAGTAGAAACTCAAATTAATCAAATAGTCAAAAATTCTTCGTTATGTCCTCCAAATTCTCCATTTTGGGGTTCTCCGAAAATTCAATTAAGAAAACCCAAATTCTCTATTTTGGGGTTCTCCGTTTAGTGAAAACTAAAATCACCAAATCATATGTTCTAAACTTGATGTCACTGTCAAAATCCAATAAGTTGTAATAGCAAGATATACAAAACAGGGAAACTAAATATATTACATCATACGTACCACATACCAAGCACTATGGGGTTGCGGAAATGGAATTTTGAGTTAGCTACAATTTTTTTTTTTAACAATTCCTGCAAAGCAAAACAAAAACATTAAAATATGAAATAAAAACATAACGTGATATATTATATTGACACAGCCCAAAGATTATCAACAAAATGCTAAACGCTTAGAAACAAACCTCTTTGCATTCATTTTAGCCATAATAATGATCATTTCTCTCATCCTTTTTTTCTGCTCAAATGAAAAACCAACAAGGATCCAAATTTGTATAAGTTGGCCCTTCTTTCTTTTAAATGGACAGCTAAAAAGTGGTTAACAATAACCTTTTTTTGTTGCACGAACACAAGAGAAAGATTCATCTGCTTCCTTTAAATTCATAAGAAATTAAGTTTGTTCTGATCATAAATTAGATTTATTAACTTGGCCTTGTTTATATCTCGTTTTGTTGACGATAACAAGGACAAAAAGGTATATATCAACAACAAAAAAAAGAGAAGAAAAATGAAGCTATCTTTCTAAGTGTTAGTATGTGGGAAATAAAATAGTTACAGTTTGAATTGAAAGAAAGGAGACTCATCTGCTGCGGGAGATGTATACTGCAAAAGGAGATTCATCCTTGGCTCCATGCGAGCCCAAAACACCCTAAACAAGTCAAGTTTTGCTCATTAGAAAAATTAAATTTAAGTTATTGCCTCACTAATTCACATCTTTAACCAAATATCTGAAAAGAATTGGTACACACTTAAAATAGTTCTCTCTCCGTAAACCAAGTTCCTCCTAGTTCAGCGATCCACGGCACCTGCTCACAAATGCAATGCATCATACTTTAAACTAAGGCAATAACATATCAACAATAATTCAATTAAGAAAATCAACAAATCATCATACTCAAGATACGGAACAGCGTGTTATAAGAAGGAACTAACAAAACCAATAACATATCAATCCTCATTCAATTAAGAACATAAAGAACATCATACTCAAGATACGGAACAGCGTCATATAAGAAGGAAGCAACAAAACCATGAAAAAAGTAAAAACATAAGTACATATGAAACTGATGCAACTTACTTTGGAGCTCCACAGTTACAAGGGATTTTGTTGTCTTCTAGCGGGAATTTGTAGTTGTAACTTATTTCTTCACCAGCGTCTATATGCCGTTTAGCATAGATAAATATCTTTTTCTTACCGTCCACGCTAATAATCTTGGTGTAACAGTTAGGCTGCATAAGCACAATATCTTCTATAAGACCTCCGAATCCAAAAAATTCAAATCAAACTAGCCAATGATACAAGACTGTGCAAACAATTACCTCGCATGAATGGTTTATAAACCTTGCTATGCCACCACGCTTTGTGGCATCAACCTAAGACCCATGGTAAGCAACAAGTGATACAGAAGTGTCATTAAAATGAAAAAACATATACTAGATAAGATTTAATGTATTGTACAGGTGACTAACCACATAGCCATCGTCAAGCCTAAAAAGATAACTGCTTCCAATTCCCATCTTTTCATATTGGCGTTCACGTATCTCAGATATCTGAGAGATTGACATATTGAACCAAAATGACGATCAAATTAAAAGAGAGCCCATAACAGTGTGTAACTACTACCACATACCCACAAAAAAATTCAATGGAACACTTGATCAAGCAAGTCATACTTACAGAAGAACGTATCAACTCTCCGACATATTCGATCACAAAGTCCTCAGCATCAATCGGTTCAAGTGCGACAAGACCCCAATCATGAATCTTGCTTTGTTGAAACCGCAAATGCTTTTTCCTAGCCTGTCACCGACATTACAAAAAGAAAATAGAAAGACATTAAGACCACATGGATATGTTACTCAAAAGAGAAATCTGTTTTTGTTTTATTCACCTTCAACTGAGAAATTTTTAAGAGGTCAGCACCATCTGCAGCAGCTAGAAGATTACGCATTTTTGCCCTATTAGTTCTTGCAGAGAGAACGTTTTGAGTCGAACTGATTTTGGAACCAAAATGTTGTACGTGTACGCAAGAACTTCCTCTAATACGGGCTTTCTCTTCAGGACTAGCCTTTAATGACCATGCATGCCAATGCCAGCCATTAATAGATGTGCGTGCACATCCATCAGACTTTGGCATCGACATGAACACCCTTTTATTGCTTGCGTTAGGTCTTGGTTTTGCCAATGGTTTTAATGCAACTGGCTTAGGGCTGCCATCATCCATTGTCAAATCCTTAATGGGAGAAAGTTCTGTTGTATGTTTCCTTCTAAGCATTAACTTCTTCGAACTTACTACACAAACCAACCAAATACATGTAGTTAAGGGTAAATAATATATTTTAGAGGACAATATAAAACCAAGGAAAAGCGATAACGTTTAGGAAATAATTGCCTTTCTGCAGCTTGTTTGATGAATTGCAGAGAAGCTTTTCTTCATTTGAAACAGCACCCTCGGAATCCTTGGAAAAAAGTGATAATTTCCGACATGAAGGTACACTGGGGACTTTTTCATCCAATGAATGCTTCATCTTTAGCGTTGATGATTGCGATGCTTCATGAAACAAAGTACTAAATTGTTAAAATCTGGGGCCCATGCATTGAAGTAGCCAGATATCTCTTGAAGAAACTAAAATCTGTAACAGCAACAAAGTACGGCGTTAGAAACTTACACTTGCGGGACTTCTGTGAAATGCTGCACGAAGACTTCTCCACAATCTTTTTTTCTTCAGCAGCATCTTCTGGAAAATGTAAATTAGTAAAGCAAATGCAGGAGGCATTCTCAAAACCTGGGAAATAAATCAAAGAGATCTTACTTTTCCGTCTCTTGCTGGGGCGTTGAGGGGAAACCTTGTCACCGGTTTCAAAACCAAGGATTTCTCTATCAGCTCCCTTTCCACATAGATCAGTAAGACCTCTGCCTGCTCCATTGCAAGATTTAGTACCTTCGACTCTGACATCTGACATATTCTTTCTCTTTAGCTTTGATATATGAGCTGCTTCTCAGAAGGACGAAATCAGTAGTGATTGGAGCGCAAGGTAAAGAAGCTAAAGAGCTCCGATACAGGAAGTTGAATTGTAGGAAACAAACAAAAGGAGTTTTTTTTACCTTTCTGCACTTTCTGAGAAGAGTTATTTGTAATATTTTTCCCATGATCTTTGCAGTCAACGGTTTCTCCGGATTCCTCAGCAGACACTGAAATCTCCTCACATGATTTTGCAGCATTTGTATCTTCTCTTAACTCTTTTGTTTTATTCCTTGATATTTCTAATAGAGATATACATCAAAAAGAACATGATAGGAAAAAAAAAAAAAAAAAGGAAAGAGATAAATTCTGACATCAAAATGGAATAACACTACAGTATATATCAAACTTACTTTTTAGTCTTGTTATAAGGAGTTCGTCATCAAATTCATCTGCCATTCTAACATCTTGGGTTATCTCACAGCGCACCTTGCTAAGAGCATCTTTACCAACCTTGTCTTTCTGAGACTTGGTCACATTCTTTGTGATACCTGCATCATAATAAAACAGAGAAATATATAAGGTCAAAGTAAAGTTTCTCAAATTCGGATGAAAAAGGCTAAAAGTTATATACTTTGATCTCGCCGGTCAGCATTCCTTATCTTCTGTTGAATTGGTTTCTGAACTGACAAATCTATACAGGGTGTATCGACTTTAAGGGTTTCTTTCATGGAATGAGAACCTGTAGACAGTTTCTTAGGTCGTTTAACCAGATTTTTGTCAGAAGATCTGACACATGCTTTCGTTGGCTTCTCTGCTGTATGATTTGACATATTTGTCTCTACTAGCTTTTTGTTCCGAGTAACAGTTTTGAGCTTCTTCAGGGCCAGTGTATCTTTACGAGAAATTTGATGGCTTCCTTTCCGAGAAGCAAGGAATTCGTTTAGAGAACACTTCATGAACAGTGATTTCCAATCTTTCATAACAACATTATGCAACCTCTGTCTACATAAAGCCATTGCAACATATTCTTCAATCTCAGGAATGGATTCCTTTGATCTTACAGGCCGAAACTTACAGCGCAGAGATGGCATTTCCGTGTTGCTTTCACATCCAGGTGGTGGTGGCTCATGAATATCCAGAGTATCAAGCTGATCATTAACAGGACTGTCCACTGTCTCCAATGTTGTAATAAATATATTGGCAATAATATCCTCAGATGTGATTTGCTCAGAGGATTCTCCTTCTTGCACGAGTCTCTGAGACTTACTGAAATCACTGGAAAAACGCAACCCAGCAGGAACGACAACTAAATCATTCTTCTTTTCACCAGACCCTTCCAGCTTACATGGGGACTTATGAAAAGATGACAGGTTTTCCTGCAGCAATTTGCAACAATGTGCACTCAGCACCCACACGCTAGCATGTCACAAAAAGAACATAACGAAAAAGGATAGACTCAAATCCAAAAATGCCTACAGGGAGATTTCAGGTCTCCTTACCGCATGCGTTTTGCCATCTCGGACAGTACTAGATGCGTTATTCGCTCCATCTTCAATGAGAATGCCAGTATAATTAGTCAGGTAAGTTCGCAGAGACAAAAAGAGCTCACTTTCTACATGTTCTGAGATGCTTGTTATGACGCTTTCTATTCCACTACTGTCGGGTAACTGCAAAACATAAGAAAATGACACTGATTATCATTAACGACCAAAACTTCGTTTACTTGAAGTTAAACGAAGTTAAAAAAAGATTAAACAAGCTCACACTCTCAACTGTCTCAGGTTTGTCTGAATAATTTGTCGGGGAACCCTTGCAGTAGCTAGCAACAGTTGAAATATCAGGAGAACGAGACCAAAGTTTGTGCTTTCTCCAAGATAATGAATAAGTTGCCACAGTATCATAAAAGACAGCGTTAAACATTATTTGCATGCAATGGTTGTAAAGTATTCCAGATACAGCCGAGCAAGATGTCTGAAAGTTCTCAGTGCTTCCAACAGATTTAGTTTCTTTGAGCGACTCTACAGATATACGACTATGACCTGTTGCTTCAGTGGTTGAGACAGCAGTTTTTTCTGCATTGATAACTTGAGACTGCTCAAACAAAACGTTACTAAATTAGCGTACAATTCAAACACAACTTGAGACTACTCACACAAACGTTCCTAAATTAGTGTGATTGCATGCAAGTACATAAAAGGTGTGCACGTGTACATAAACATAAATGTGCAAATACAAAAAAGAGTTACCGATGTGGATTCAACTTGGGCAGAAGAACTAGGTGGATCAGACTTGAGATGCTCGTCTCGTTTCTTTGCCTTAAGAAAGTCTGAAATCACACTACTGATGATTTCATCGAGTAGAGATCTTCTAGCTATTTTCATTATTCCACTCTGAAGCTGAGAAGAGAGTTCTTCAGAAACTTCGGATATGAAGCTCACCCCAGACACTGACTCGGCACAATCAGCACTACCACATTTCTCCCTCCATACAGCAATTAACAATGCTAATGTGATTGGTCTCAACTTATTTTCACTATCACGTATCTGCAGAACGAAACTCTTAAAACGTGAGATAAAAAGGGAGAAAACATATGTTCACCAAGTAGTCTAATATATTTGAGACCTAAATGCAAAACTAGAAAGAAAATCACACAATTTCCCCCTCATAAGCTAGACACAAGGCTACGAAGAGGCGTCACTATAACTGCATGAAACTCAATTAAACACAATCTTTCAAAAATTATTTGTAGGTCTATAGCCTTTACAGCTTACCGGGGTTGCATCTGAAATATATCCATGCTGCTGCCAATTATAAAGCTCCGATAAAGAATGTGGTCCATGATTTCTACCCTCGACATCAACAAGAAACCAGCAAGCATGTTCACTTCCCTGAAAGAAACACCAACAATTAAATGCAATTAAAGAAACTTCTTAAGTGAACACGAGACATCGTGTCTGAAAAATTTTTAAATTGAGTTTTCACCGTGAAAGGAAGTTACCAATGAGAGGAATGACGCTAACAAATTCGCTTCCTCCTGGTTTAACATTGGCTGATCTGAGACAGAACCATTAGTGTTGGTCTGTGTAGGCAATGTCTGATTAGAAATCAAATGAGCAGCAGAAGTTGTATGCTCCGTTTGAGTCTCATGTTGATAGACAGTGGCATTACTAACAGGAGGGACCACACTTATAGTTCCACTTTGTAGATATGCGAAACCAGTGGTGACATGTTCAGGAAACTGCTTGAAGTACTTAAGTGGTACCGAATTTGGCATATAACCATTGATAATTGGATATACAAGAAGATCCCCAGGTAAAAAGCCAGTGGATAGCCCATCAATTAGCTGCTGTTGCGTATACGGGCCACACATCTGGCCTTGCTGATTACCGTACATCCAACCGCTCGCATACACGGTATATCCTGGAAGACTCTTGTCTAGAGATGAAGCTGTACCACTACCACAAGCCTCTTGACCCTCACGGCCGTCTCCATTGGACCTGCAGCTCACCTCTAACGCTGTGTCCATACCACACAGTTCATCAAAGTCGCAACAAGCTGATGATACGGTAGTCAAATCGTCACAGCTGACAAGCGAAATTACATTTAATTTTAAATTGACCATCCAACTTAATACATCACAAACTCACAACTAAGAAACACAATAATTACAAAGTGGAACCTGTCACAAGAGTAATCTTGAACTGCTTCCCGTGCGGAGATGGAAGCATCAGAACTGTAGACTGTAAACAAATTTGTTTCCAAAGAAGTTACATTCTTCCTTCTACTAGAAGAAGAGCTACTAAGGCTAGGAAAAGGGGAATCTAAAGCAACCATGGCCCAGATAAACTCGAGATATCTTCTCTGCATAAGACATTCCAAAACTATGGTCAACAAAGGTATAACTTTCATCCAACACTCAAATTATAAGACGGCGTGAGATAAAAGAGACGAGAAGAAAAGGCCATTGTTTTCCATAATCACTTTTAAGTAATAATCTCGACAAAACTGAAATCGACGTACCCAAATCAGAACAGAGAGGAAAGATTACAAATTGATATAGCAAATTCTGAAATCTGGAAACCGACTCTTAAGCTGAAAGCAAAACGATCGTCAAGTTTGTGCCACAGATCAAAAATTGCGTCGAAACGTAAATCTAATTGCTTTAAGGGAACGTAACTGAAATCGATTAGTATGATCCTCATAAGCTGCAACATTCAATCGAACGGCTAAACGACGAGTGAACCAGAAACGCAAAGGTGAGTGAACACAAGGACAATATCATACCTCGAGAAGTAATATGACAGAAGAAAAAAGTCCTCGACTTCCAAGAAAGTCAAGGACGATCAAGGCAGCGATGAGACAGTCACCCAATTGTTGTTAAATTGATAATGAGACCTAGAAGAGAAGATTTATCCAAGGAAAAAAAAAAAAAAAGAAGATGAACAAAGAAGAAGGAGGGTCTGGTCATCACGAAAATATTATTAAAGAAGGAAAAACAAATAATGATAAAAAAGTAGAAACAAATAAATAATGATAATTAGGGTGAAAAATAAAGATAACTAAGGGGTTATATTAAATTATTGAGAAAAAAATGAAATTCTTCTAAATCAATAATTTAATATGACCCTTTCGTCATCTTTATTTTCGCCATACTTATCAAAATATTAGCCGTCCCGCGTGCGCAAACACGCATGCATATAAAATTTGAAATAAATTTAATAAAAAAAATATAATATTTTTTAATTATGAATTATTTCGATATATATAAATTTAGACTATTAAATAATCTACTGAGGATTGTTAATTTGATATATATAAAAATCATATCCGTTTTGTAATTAAGTTGCAAAATATTCATTTTTCATGTAAAATTATGGTTATTAGTGAAATTAAGTCTTATGTTTCTTATTTGCATATCAAATTATTATCGGATACCAAAAAATATCTTAAGACTGTTTTTTCCAGAAATATTCAAAGTAAAAAAGCTAAGTAAATGATAGGTCTCCATATGCTTATGGTCATTAGTAAAGTAAAACTCTTATTTCTTTGTATTCATATTACATATTCACCAAATACAAAAAATTTACCTCAAAGTTGAGATTTTTAAGAATCAAAAATAAAGTATTCATATTACATAGTCACCAAATACAAAGATTTTACCTCAAAATTGAGATTTTTAAGAATCAAAAGTAAACACCACTGCCTCTTAACTGCCTCTTCTCTTCTTCAATATAGTTCTTCTCTCTACTCGCTTGACCCAAAGCTCTTTTATTTTCCTCTATGTTAAAAAGAATGAATCTTCATATTTTATCACAATCAACTCACGATTCTCACCATCTACAACGGCAACTCTTGTGGCTTCTCATTCTCGATAACTCTCTTTGACTCCCACATGATCATTGCTTATCTCATGACCTCCTCATGCAAATGGACATCTGGAAAACCATATGCTTTGTAACAGTGTTGTTGCAAAGATTCATAGTCGAAAGCTCTCTTGACTTTCTACTTGTCATTTTTCTATCTCACAGTATCCATAGTATCCGCGTTAGAATTAGATAATGATGACTCCTTGTATAAGTTATCATTATCATCATCACTCCATCGTATCGTACCTTTCTTCATGGTAAGGAATGTTATAACTCTAACAAAGAAACAAATCTTCGTTAATCCAATTTACGAAATAGATATTTTTAAAAAATAATGATCTAATATACGTAGGAGAAGCTTATGATGCAAGTAATTTAATATCATAAAGAGTGTTCTATATACAGAATATAAATACACCCAAGCAATCGCTGGTTGCACATACATCAATGTGTGTTCATTGTAAATATTGAATCTTTAATCAGATTGCTGCATAGCAATTGTCTCTGCAAATTCTTTGCATCACAACTCCCCCAATGTCTCTTTGATATTTTTTCAACAACCTCTGCGTTAACCAATTTATTATTCACTAAATCAATTCCAAAAATCCATATCTGAGTCTCCGAATAATATCAAATAAAACATTTTGTCTTCCTTCTTCGAGGAAGAAAGATAGCCTTCCTCTTTGCACCTTAAAAAAAATCCAGAAGAATCCTCGCATTTTCAGAATTGAGTTTCAAATGTCTTTTAAGACTCTTCGACCAAAACAAAACAAAGCAAATAAATTCAAAAACAAAAAAATGAATACCCAGATTTGGGATAATTTGTTTTCTTTCAGAAAACCAATCTATAGCTTAAAATTTTGGACATATCCTTACAAACATCACTATTAACGCCAATCTTAATTAACTGTCAGTTGATACACTTGTCACTGGTTTTAGTATTAATAAACATTACAGAAAAACTGTAAGAAAATACAAAAAGATTCAAATCTTTAAAAGAAGCTCACCTTTAATTATAAAGGCATAGCCACTAATTCATACTCCAAGGTTACAAGCTTTATTGGCAATTATCTGTTATCATCATTTTGACGTATAAAGAATAAAAAGTTTAAACTTATAAAACTTAGATCTACTATCGTAGCAATCGATAGAGAACAATACACGGAATAATCAAATAAGAAGAAAACCACTAAAGAAAATAAGATATCAGAAATATTAAAATCACCTTTTGAAAACCATGTAGCAATCTGTATATCGTTCCAAACCTACATCTTACATCGAAGCATGTATTTTCAATGCCAACATTGATCAAAAAATAAAGTAAGAAATTAGATAAAGTATTGACGACAACATAAAACACATATAAAGACCAATTAACCATTTTTTCTATAAACATAAGAACATACCAGAATTATATCCACATGCTCTCGGACCATGATCGTTGAATCCTTACAAAGTATAGAAGAACAAATCAGAACCTTAAAACAAACTAAGAATAATAGATAAAATGTTATCCCAAACATATAAAAACATAAATTTCACTACCGATACATATTTTTGAGGGGATAAAAGCATATTTAGATAAACTATAGGTAAAGAAACATATAATAAAAATTTACAAAACCGTAATAAAAAAAGAAGCGATGAGAAATTGTGAATAAAAAGATGTCAAGATGTTTATATAAAAAAAAACTTAGGCATAACACACGATTTTCACTATTATATTTTCTTTTTTTTATAGATAAATATCAAATCGAGTTTATCATATATTTATTGAACTTTCTACTTTTTAGATTTATTTTTTTCTATATTTTATAGGATATTTTATTTTTTCTATATACATGTCACATATTTATTATTTTCCAAAGTTTAAATATAAATATTTTTAATTAAATTGATTTTTCATTAAGGGTATATTAAGTCAATTCATATGAGGAGCAAAGAGTAATCAACCACAATAACTCCCAACCACAGCTCAACTTGCTTGAAAATTGATATTACTATATATTTTGTGTATTTTGCATGCATTTAGGATAGTTTCTCATGCATTCACCTTGCATATTAGGCTAGTTTGCACCATTTTGCATGCATTTAGGATAGTTTTTCATCAATTCTCTTTACCTTTAGCATTATGCATAAGTTCAAACCCTTCTTGAGAGAAACTCTTGCATTTATAAAACCCATTTAAATGAGATCATTCTAGTCTCATAGACTTTGTCCTTAACCAAATGTGTTCGGCTTTAAAATGCATAAGTGTGATTCACGGTTCGATCATTAATGAATGTTAAAGGATAAGAATCTTTGATTGTTTGGAATAGGAGAGTCATGATTTGAAATTCATTGTGTGATGAGTATGGCTAAGTTCTTTGGAGTATGAGTGTGTGCATTGCATTTTAGAGTTAAGAACTAGGACCATTGAAATGATTCACTTGAAAAGCCCCTTTGCAAGAAGCTTAAACCCCCGTTTTTAAAACTTCTCTTCCTTCTTGAAGTTTGTTTACTTGAGGGCAAGCAAAAGGCAAGTTTGGGGGAGTTGATATTACAATATATTTTTTTGTATTTTGCATGCATTTAGGATAGTTTATCATGCATACACCTTGCATATTAGGCTAGTTTGCACCATTTTAGGTCCTATAGCACTTTTGCACTAGCATTCGCATGTTTCTTGCATTATGCATCATATTCAGGTTGTTTTGGACACTTTGGAGCTTTAGAGGACTCGTGGAAGTGCTAAGGCTCGTGAGGAAGCTCGTGGACACTTGGAAAACTCAGGAGTGCATGCTAAGGACCTGAGATCGAGTAGCAGATCGAGCAAGGCAGGTCAATCAAGAGAAGATCGACCAGAAGATCGAGTGCACCAAGGCGATTCAAGAGGAAGGATCGAGATCAAGATCTAGAGAGGAGATCGATCTGGAGCACGGACGTAAATGACGCCATGCATATCGAGAATCAGATCGAGCTTCCAACACGATCGACACAGGATCGACTCAGAGATCGACCGAAGTCATCCGATCCTAGAGAAGATCGAGCCAAAGATTGAGTGACCCGAGTCGATCCCAGACTAACCTTATCCGTCCAGCTGGATTTGGACCGTAGCGAAGGGGGGACCAATTGCGGTTTGGCCATTTTTGGCAAAACGCAGCCATCCCTTTCATTATCTTCATTCTATCTCTTTACCTTTTCGTTTTTCTCTCGTTTTAGGCGAATCCGCCATTGTAGAAATTCAAGCTTTTCTTGCTTTTTCACTTTGAATATTGAACCTTTTACCTTTAATCAATCGTTAATCATGGTTAGTAGATCATCTTCTGCATTCTGTTCGGTTTTCTTTATGTGTAGCGAGTAGTTTCATTTGGGTTGATGGGTTGAGGTGATTCGAAAGGGTCAAAAAGGTTAAAGCTTTGAGTTTTCTTGTTCTTCATTACTTTCTCTTCTAGGATCTTGAGTACTTAAGGTTTAGAGACTCTCACGTCAAGATCTCTATGATCCAAGGGCTGTCTTACCTTGACAGGATTCAGATGTCCTGAAAAATCAGATCCTAGGGGCTAATCCTTCCTTTCCCACATGCCATGGTTGTTTAGGGGATTAGTTAGGTCATTTGTTTGAAATCTGTGTTCCAAGCTCTTCGATCTCTTTTTCCACCAAACGCCATGGGTTTGGAGAAGAGATTGAGGAAGTGACCCATACCACACGCCATGGATGGATCTTGTTTTATTTTCAAGGCCTAGAGAACCTCTTAAAAGAGTAGATCCAACGTTTTCAAGCCAAGCTTTAATCTTTGAGACCCACGAATATGACCCTCAACCCTAGACCCTCTTTCTTAGTGTTTTAAATCTCTGCTTATCATTCTGTCATCATAAAGTTTGCATCTTGTTCATTAATCCATCGCATCATTCATCATTTTAAGTTGTTAGATGAGATCAATTCATATTGCTCGATCTAGTGGTCGATTTTTAATTTTTTTATAGCTTTGCATTTTTGTGTTAGAATAATTGCGGATGATTATGAGAAAGAGAGTATGAAATGAATGAAAGGAGTGAAGAATATGAGTGAGAAAGAGAGTTTGATTAAGGAGAGTATATTTCCTTAAGTTGAATGTTACAAATGTGGG